ATCAACTATAGTAAATACTTAACAACTTAGTACCCTCCTTTCATGTAAACCATAAAAGAAAGGGTCCACTGCTCTTCCCTTCTAAACCATTTAATCAGACCAAAGCCAGATGAAAGAGATAGAAAAAGTTTCTTTGCAGATATGAACAGATTTTGAGATTAAATTCCTGATGCCATCACCATGTAGCACCTTTTATTTGCTGTTTATAAATAAATTGTTACCATTTGGCTTTATACGGGAAAATGAAAACACAATATTAGTGATTAAAAAAAAGGCAGGATAAATATCTAATAATAATAATGTTTCAAGACAACATTTGTCCACATCCCATAACAGTTGATGGCCTGATAACAAGGAATGTTATTGAGGAAAAGTGTTTCTGTTCACTGCACTTCTGGAGTATTTTCATCATTGTGGTCATTTCGCTGGTTAAAACTAATTTATTCTTGATCAAGAACTGGGTGCTGAACATGTATGTATGTATGTATATGTATATAACTTTTGTCATTCCAATCGAAAATGGCAGTAATTTTTTTTAATCCTTCATCTGATAATTAAACACATTTTATTTTGTTAAAACATAGCCTTATTTTTTTAAGCAAGCAAAGCAAAGAAGAGCTGAATATTTTCTTAGGCTATTTTAATACTGTAAAAACTACATTTTTTCTCTTCCTCCTCAGATATTAATATATTATCTGGGACAAAAATGATCTTACTTTGATTTCAAGTCAACAGATACCATTAAAAAATGAATCCCACCAAACCATTTTGTCAGCTTTTGGCTTCTCTTCTTCAGTTGCTATGCTGGGTTTTTATTACCATGGTTATGCAGAAAATTGCATTGTTAAAGATGCTAGTTCCCCATCTGAAAACCATTAACTGTTCAAAATAACTGCCATGTGATCCCATAAGATAAAAGGATACCAGATTCCTTAAAGGACAACAACCGGGGCACAAAGGGCTTGACAGATGTTTTCAAACTGTAATAAATTCAAAAGCCTGCCCATAGACCGTGGCTTGATTTGACATAACTTGCAGCCCATCCCAATGCATGTTTATTTAGAAATACACAAACATGTAAGTGCAGATAGGAATGCATTCTCAATCTGGTACAATGAGGCAAAAGAACACTATTTTACTTTGTCTGTGATAACATAATTTTTTTTTTCCTATTTCACTGTGCTCTGGAACAAAGATAATCAGTCAGATAATTCCAATGCTGCAAAGTCTTTCAACCAAATTAGGAGGAGACATTCAGATTTATTTATTTATAATTTAATTTTCTAAGGCTTCCTACTTGTTGATCACCCTGGGCAGCTTACAAGGGTTAAAAGTAAAAACATTGCTTTTAATGAACTAGAAAAATAAACTAGAGCTAAAATCCAATGATACATAAATTTCAAATGAATAATTTGGAATAATTTCTGAACGGCAAACAGTTTAAGACTTTACATTATTATATCCCATCCTCTAAATGATTAATGTTCTTATCATCTTCTTGCCTGAGATATAAAAATAATCTACCCAATTCTACTGAATCACAACATTATTTCCTATTACTTTATTCATATTTTTTGAGTAGCTGTAACAGAGTAGGGAGGAAAAAAAAGGCCTGGTTCATGATTAACATATTAATCTAAATGAAGTTTACCTCCCTTGAGGCAGTTATGTGTGTGGGCTTTCACCATGCAAGCTAGCAGAAAGTCGATCCTGTTGCAAACACGTGCTACGTATTACCATATTTACATTTTCCTGTTTGGAAAGATGGGAAGCTTGCAGAGGTCCTAGGTTAGGTGAGCTGAGAGCTGAAACCTTAAACTGTTTCATGCTTATTTATTTTATGAACCTATTGGGTCCAGTGTTTATCCAAATTGTTCAACCATCTGGATTAGATAATTTGTTGGAAATTAACAGTGTTTGATGGTTATCAACCTCCAAGTGATTAAAACCGCTTGAAAATCTAAAGAGGAAGACAGAAACATCCTCCCTGGCATTCAAAAAGGGACTTATTTTTACAAAACCCTGATCTATGGTAAAGTTCTGGTGGATTGAGATTGGATGTGAAGATGGATGTCGAAAGGGAGATACAGAGCAACAATTCAGAATGAAAAGGATGAATTTCAAACAGACTTCAGAGCATTGTAGCAGATATTTCTTTTTTTTTAAATCTGCCCATATTTCTTGCCGGAAAAAATTGAACGCATATACTAATGAACTTAGGAAGTAATACATGGATACAAAACTTCTCCCCTTCAAATTTCTAGATTCTCTTCCAAGAAATGTTAATGTTTAGAGGAAATATTTGTATTGTCCACAGCAAGACACAGGTTTCCTAATGGCCTTCAATAAGAAATGTAGAACTAGAAGGCTCTGCTCAATTGGTGGCCAGTAAATTTGGAACTCATTTGGACCGACTAATGCCTCTTCTGCTTTGTTCCTTGCTGGCATTGAATATTGCCCATTTAATGACCATTAATCTGTTTCTTGATTGATTATGTGCCATCAAGTTCTTGTCAAATCTTAGCGACCACATACATTTTTTCCATGACGATCCGTTCCTAATTCTGTTTCTTACCTGCACTGAAGTCAAACAACATGGAAACTACTCCCTGTGCCTGAACTTTACATATGAAATGGCTTTATGCTAATTTTGGCCACTGTCATCACAGTAGCTCACCTTTTCAAAGAATCATGTCAGTTGATCTAAATGTATATTCTGGATCTGCCTGAGAAGTCATTATAAAAAAACAGGTGACAACCTGGAACTGTTGATATGTAGTTTCCTTCCAAATGGCTTCATTTCAGGTCACACTTTGCACCTAAAAATTAGTCCTACGTTTAGCTACAGTAAACCGACAAAGTTGAATACCAAGATTATGATCTATTATGATCAAATCCACCTTCAAAGCTGAAAATCATCTGTGAATTTTTTGCTATGTATAAAGAGAAGGAACGCTAGAAGAAGCAATTGACATGTAGAGAATATTTAAAAGAACAAATCAGCAAGTATATTTACAAATGGTTTTAAGATCATGATCAATATAGGCACAGAGTTTTCGTTCCCAGAATGTTTGTCCTATGCATGCTTCACTTTGAAATTGCTACTAGTAAACCAAACAACTGCAATTTTTGCTAAGAACATGTAATTATGTCAATGCTTTCCAGCAGAGTCTTAGTAAATATGTATTCGGCAGCTATTGTGTAGTCATTGACATTTGACATTGCACTAATTTCCTCACATTAGCATGCTTTTTTTTTCTTGAAGAGCACTTGACCTGGGCCAAAAATATCCCACAACTTTCATAATTATTTACTGAATGATAGAAACACTAAAAGGAACTGCAGAGTTTCATAGACTGATACAATAGATGTTCATTTCTAACACTTAAGTATTGTGTTGTCAAATATGGCATGGAATTTAATTAGGAGACGTGGTATCAGTATTTATATAGAGAATTCCATGAGGATTTTGTAGCTTTAGAGCATACTTTGTATTAGAATTAACTGCTATATTGACTAACTACTACTGCTACCTCCTCTTCTTTGCCTTCTTCCTTCAGAAAGATAGCAAATTATGTAATGTTCTTTCTCTTTTTAATAACCCAAAGGAAAATGTTTATATGTTAACTTTGCTAATATAAAAAATGTCACTTAAAAAAAAAAGAACTTAATATTTCTAAATAGTTAATGGGTTCTGAATCATAACTCTGCTTTATATTTGTCTCTTCAAAAATCCAAAAATTCTGCATGCAACATTTTATATTGGTTATCACTTATATCCAAATCCTAAATTTACTGAATAGAATTTTATGTATTTATTTATTCATACATACATACATACATACATACATTCAATTTATTCTCTGCCCATTTCCCCCAATGGGGAATTCTGGGCGGGTCACAAAGTATATAATCCTAACGGTGACTAACAATTCTTACAATTATTATGTTTAGTGTGGGCCTATAAAATTAGTCTTTAAGTTCAGACACTATAAAATTAGTTTTTAAGTTCAGACCTAAAGACATATTGCACATCTAAAAAACAGATTTAGTTTTACAGATTTACTTACTTTTTTAAATTGATACTTCATCTGCTTCAACTTAGTGTATGAAACTCAGGCTAGGCTCTGACTGCTGTGAATTTTTCCATCACTGACTTGGTTATCAAATAGCTATATTCCAGGTATCACAATATAGAGTGTTCATGTTTGCAACTATGTTCTTTTTCAGGGAATGCCAATTTATTTTCTCCACCTTCATTTTTTTATCATTTCCCCCTCCAACAGACAACACTCCATGTACACTGGCCATGATTAGTCCTTATTGTTTCTGTTCTCCCTCCCTCCCTCACCTCAATATTAGGTTTTCAGAATTCTAGCATCTGAAAATATTGGCATGTTATTACACCCCAAAGTTGCTATTTATGAACAATAACTATAGCTGTATATAATTCAGGGAGTAACACAGAAGTGACAGTAGCCCTTCATATATAAAGTCAGCCAGCAGTAGCAGCTAAACTCACAACAGGAAGCATTATCATTGTAGAAGCTGAATGCAACCATAGAGGCACATGTATATGTTCTCTTTCACAACCCTGTTAGTTACATCTCTGATGTCTGTGGAACACAGCAAAAGATCTCTGGCAGAGATTTCAACATCCAATAGGTTCTTATTGAAAAAAGCAGCCACAGCTGGTATTATGGTCAGATCACAGGGTACAGAGGGTCACCAAAATCCCAGTCTCGCCCCCCCCACCCCCGATTTACAGCATTATTAGCTGGACAAGATCTGGGTTGGCCTGCCAGTTGAACTTGCAGCCATCCACTATATTAAAGTACAGTATTATCCTAACCCAGAAGGGAACTGAATAAGTCAGCTGCCTTAGAAATGCACAGCCAACAAGGACACTAAAGTAGTGAAATTTCTTCTATCTTCCATCAGAGAATTCAAAATCATGAGATTCCCAGGTATTCTCCTATCCAAGTATTGATTATACTCACATCTGCTTATCTTCAAAAAGTTGGCTACTTCATGTGTTCCACCTTCTTTGTTTTGATGGTTGAGAATTTTACTGCTCCTCTTAACCTATAAATAGGTTGAGATAATTGTTGAATAATTTCTGTGAAAAGATGGGCTACAAATGTAGTAAGTCATGAAATAAAACAAACATCTATAGCCTAAAATGGCACACCATGGCAATAGTATATTTTATGGGGATGCTGAATATGTATTCTTCTAAGTCAAATAAACAGAAAAAAAATCTACCAGGTGGATTAACTCATTATCATGATTACATTTCTTTATATGTTTGGTTGATAGCTACAATGCCATTCAAACTCATTTAGAAGAAACACGTTGGTAATTGCTGTCCTTGTTTGTTAATGGATAATGATATTGTTAGAATAGCGGTTGCCTCATGAAATAGTCATGATTATATGAAAGACAGTTACACTGAACGTGCATTTATTTTTTAGAGTTAGTTTCTCTTCACTTATATGCTAATGTTTTGAATGACATAGAGGCATTTCTAAGAGGTTCTTCTGTGGTAAGTAGTATGGTATTCCTTCCAAAAAAAGTGCCAGAAATAATAGGGCACATTAAAACTAGGATTTACAGAATGTAAATACATCTCAAAGAATATAAGTCTGCAGTAATATTGTAAGTTGCACTTTTAACTTATTTATTTTTACTGATAATTGGTTCAAGTTCCATTACTGTCATACGTACACTATTAGGTCTTTTATTATAAAGAATTTCAGCGACAACTGTACGTTACAAATGTGAAGACTCAGGAAAAATGCATCTGATGAGCTAGTGAAATTTCAGGTCAGCTGCAGGAATCAATTGATCCTGAATCAAATCTCAATTCCATTAGTAAGTCTTCTGTTCTAACTATACATATTACAATCAACTTTCTATTGCTGATATATGAAACTGTAGCAGTTACATTCAGGAAAAGAAGGCATCTTAAATAATTTGCAAAATAAAATTAAGCATACAAACAAAAGCAAATTGTAGGGATGGAGAAGCAAATTTAAGAGTCTACAGTAATGAATCTCTAGTGTGTACTCAAAGGCTTGCCTTAAATATTTTGTTTGGTAGTGACTTGATAATGAGTTCATCGTTTTGAGTTTTCAAATGTAGTGTTTTAATACACAGAAATTTGCTTTTAAAAATGAAAAAAGTACCAGTATGTCAAAAATTCAGTATGTGACCATTCAAAAAAGTAAAATGTGGAAAACTAAAGGTAAATTCGCATTTTAAAATATTTATTTAAATAATATTTTGGTGACATATTCTTAGTTTATAAAACTGTTGCACACAGAGGATAAAAATCTTTAGAACTAGAAAGATCTAGTTGAATGACTTGAGAAGCAGTGTAGCCTAGCAGTTAAGGTATGGTAATGGGTTTGGAGAGACTCAGGTCAAAATCCACCATCAGTTGTACAAACTCACTGGATAACTCTGGTCCAGTCTTGTTCTCTCAAACCAATCTGTGTCACAGGGTTGTTGTACAGATAAATTGAAGGAAGCTCCTGATGTCAGCTGCCTTGAGTTCTTGGAGAAAAGGCAGGGTCAAAACTGAACAATGTGTTAGCTGGGCAGTTTATATTGCATCCAGATATTTTTTTTTTTTTCATAATGCAAGTGAGATCTGGAGAAAATGAAATTTGGATTAAGTGTGAGAGAAGGCTGGATGGAGCATGGGAGAAATACACTGTCCTTTCATTCACTCAGGACCCCCTCCAATGTCTGCATATTTCTCTGGCGGCAGAAGAGGGGATAACATGGCTCTTTTAAGACAATGGAAATCTTGTACATGCAAAACTGTGTGTGGCAAATAACTTCTGTACTGCTGCCAAGGAAACTACATAGAAATGTCCATGAAGTTACCAGAACCTTAGCTTGACTTGAAGGAGACTTTACCTTTTTATTATGTAGACTGAATATTGCCCACAAAATGAAATTGCTGAAATATAGATTTTTTTCCCCAGAAAAAAAAATCTTTTATTCTTTATGAGTCAATAACTGATTATGTACCATCAAGTCATTTTCTGCTCCTAGCGACCACATAGATTTTCTCCATGACAATCTGTCCCTAATCTGTTCTTTCAAGTCTCCCAATGGTGCAGTCCTCACCACCTTAACTGAATTCATCCACCTCGCTGCTGGTCGTCCCCTTTTTCTATTTTCTTCTACTTCTCCAGCATTAGAGCCTATTCCAGAGAGGTGGGTCTTTGCATAATGTGTCCAAATATGAATCAATAAAGACCAGCAGAAATATAGTACTATCAAGGTATATTCAAGGTTTGGAGAAATTGCCAAGGGAAAGGGGCTCTTTAGATTGTAGCAACAGTTTTCCGTTTATGCCTCCCTTGATAGCATTGATGATACTAACACAAAGGTACCAGTAGTGAATATGAGAAGTAACAATAGACAGTTAAGAAAGATGATCGTTTCTTGGTTATGTTAGACCCAAGTTATTAATAGGACAAAAAGAGTAGCTTGAATTTTTCATGGAAAGCTGATGCAGGTGCTGGAACTCTGGTATGGCCTGCTCCTATTGACTGCCTCCATTATATTATGCACCAAATACCTTTGAAAGTCACAGGATTCATGTCCTCTTATTGGTCAATCCCAGGACCAAGAATTCAAAAGGTCTTCAAACAACTACACATCAAATGGTGAAGAGGCTTAGTGGCAGCCTTTGAGCCAGCATGGACTTGCTAGACCCCACTGAAGCCAATGCTGTTCATCGCAATATCCTTTCACTCTACTTTAGAATCCCTTTTAGTCAAGGGCCTGGGAATAGTTACAAATACTTGTTTAATTTTATGTTAAAAGAGAATAATCTTTTTTGCAACCAAGTGTTGCTTTTTTCCCCAGATGAGACATAGGGACATATCTGAAATGGGAGTAGAGTATATCATCATTAAATCTAGATCTAAAATGACCTAGCTGCAATATTTCTGGATGAGCCATAGGGACATATCTGAAATGGGTAGAGCATAGGTTCATTCAATCTAGGTCTAAAATGACCGAGTGCAATGCTGCTCTTCATATTTCAATGTTAATACTCTAAGCAACCATTTCTTTCCTCTTAATTATTGTGTTCTTCTCTGTGTTGTGGCTTAAAAGGTGAGGCAAACTGAAACATGCTGTCTCTTCAGAAAGAGCTTTGTCTACCATCTCATGCCCATGCTGAAATATTTCTCTGATCCTTCTGAATGGACTGAATGCATCCTTTGATAGAAGTGTAACTGCAGTAAATTAATTGTTGTCTGCAGCTGGTTGCCATGACAGGAATGGACCAAGAAACTTGCGTTCAGTGTTGCTCGTTTTGTTTTATAACAATTTGCAGAAATTGTATTTTCTGGATCCAGCCTCAACCATAATTCTTGCTTAACCCTCCACTTCAGCCTTTCCTCGCTCTTTCTCTTCCTTCTCCAGGGGTTTATAGCACCTTTTTTCTGCTTGCCTCTTAGCCTATTATGAATTCCCCCCTTTTTCTGCTTTCATACAAAAGTTTGGGATGCCGCCTGCTTACGTGTGGTCTCAAGGGGTGCTGGAGTGATAGCAAGCTGATTTTTGGCTGTGGGGGCTGCAATGTTGGAACTGTGAATGAGTTTAATTAGCAGTTCAGAGCTGAGACCCCACACACCGGGTCTGACGGAGGGGGGGAACTGCCATTCTTCCATCCTCCCTCCCCCAGGGTGAGTGCGCCGACCCCTGGCATAAGGGTCATGCCACACCGCAGACAGAGCTGGAGCTCAGGAAAATCTACAGATCATAGATGCAATCTGGAGCCCCATTCAATCCCCCTCCCTTGTACAACTCAGGGGGTCGAAGCTGGATCATTTGGAAAGCATTTGCTAACATATGGATTGCCTTTAAGCTGCAACTTTTTAATTCGCTGCATTTCCCTGTTCCATTTCTTAATTTTAGCTTGGTTTCCCCCCCCCCCACTCTTCTAGTTTCCTGTGCTGCAGAAAGCATCACTGCAGTTAGAAGGTAAGGTCTCTGTCCTAATCCAAAGAGACAATAGCACATCCTGTCAAGTCACTTTACAAAGGCAGACAGTGAAAGGACAGATATTCTCAACCTCCCATGGAGAAACCTTGCCAGGAGCCAATTACAGCAAAGGACCGTGTACTTATTATATTGGATACTGTCAAATAAAATATTTAATTAAGAAGTAATAAGCATGGGTATTTTTCCCCACCCAAAATCCAATTATTTGGGAGCTTCTTCCATTACTTACTTCATGTTAATAGTACTTAACAAATCAATTGTCCAGCCGAGAAAGCATTCCAAATATAAAGCATGGGAGTAATTTGGACATTCCAGCCCAGATTGCTCTGCTTTCATGCTTTTCTGTAACTATTTGAAGGTGAAATGCTATCAGTAAAATATACCCTTTGGTGGAAAAACTTCAGACAATCTCCTTGCACCAATTGCATTCTTATGACATTTACTGACCAAATTCAGTCAAGATGAAGAGCCCAGTTCCTTGGATATCTAGTCAATAATTCACCCCTTCAAAAATACTCATATATACAGAAGGCACCTGAAAGTATGGGTTATCTTGTATATTTTCTGTAACGATAATTGAGAATAGCAGCTACAACAACCATAGGCAAAAGATACTCCTATTTCCCCCCTCCTTACCAGTCCATTGCTTCTGTTTTGGACAAAATTCTTGCACTGTACCATTTTTGATAAGACCATCAGCCAGTTAATTAGTGTTTATGTGAGTAGTGAATCTACTTTATTTGAATATACGTGGATATATACAACACATCTATAGAGGTGTTCTATTTTCGAAGAAATATTAGTTGGTTAGTTTAAACAAAAGTACTCTTTGCTAGAAATGGAAGGCAAGTCAGAAGATTGATTTTACATTCCCAAAGTAAAGTGACACACCTTGAAAAATAAACTAGTGTGCTCTCATTTTCCAGCCCCACTGATGAATTAACTAATGTTGCGATCCTGGGCATGCTTGCCTGGAAGTAAGCCCAATTATGATTCAATAGGATTCTTCTGAGTAAATAATGTATATATGTTCAGGATTACACTGAGTAAAT